TGGAACCCAGAGACAACCAACCCTTTTGTAAATAGTTTATGGACCCCGTTGAAACCAAGTAACATGTTGCAAGAATCTCTGAACCCCTTTTTAGGAGTGAACCCTGTTGGAGTTGATGTTGCAATAAATACAGAACCCTTTGATTTACCTCAACCGACTCGTCCTTTATTTGGGAGAACAAACAGCCCCGAAAACTGAACCCTCACAAAGACCTACTTTTTTATCCCAAGAAAGTAGGGGAGAAAGTGTATGCTACTGTTTTTCCAGGATGCAGACCCTGGAAAGCCAGCAGCATATACTTTCTCCCCCACTTTTTTGGGATCAAAAAGTAGGTCTTATGTAATTAATGTATTCCAATTGGGGAAAAACCATCTTGCGAAACGGGGTCCAAAAAAACCCCCGTCTTGCAAGGCAAGGACCAAACATAGTCCAACGAAAACTGCCCATAGGAACAATCGTTTTGTGAAGCACAACATCGCTCAAAAGTCATCGTCTAGCGAATTCCTCATTTTGCGAGGTAATCGTCTAGCGAGGCACCACTGTATTGCCCAATTGTTCCCATGTTTTGTAATGCATTTCAGTAATGTTGCAATATTTAGGGAAAAGATTTAAGTAGTAGTAGAATCTCAGGCCTCATATCTACTACTAAGAAGCTATGGCCACAATCTGACTCGCCATGTACACACAATGCCCAACTTGTAGTTATGGCAGGAGCACAGCAACACAACACATGGCCACCTAATGCCGTTCACTCTTCTCCCACTGTACAGGTTACACACTACACCAAAAAGGAGTGACTTCTTCATACAGAAAGCACAAGAACTTAGACTAAGGCAATTCAACATGGCGAGTGACAAACAAGGAGGAAGCACAGGGCAGAGATGAGGCCAACCCTGCTGCTTCAATGGTCTTGCCTCTTGAGAAAGAAAAGCCACAGTTGTATGTCTTTTTGGTGATGCACACCTTTCTTTAAAAAAAGCCTTAATGGGTTAGGAACCATGCACATAATGGGCCTCTCCTTTGTACACAGATCTTCTGAGAAGAGACTCGGAGCATGTGTTGGGTCACTAATTCAAAATACTAACTTTTCAGGATTAAATGCATCATCTACGAATTCTCCTTCTGCCGAGCTTTTTCGACTAGAGTTTGATCTCCACGAAGATGCTACAGGAAGTTCTTCAGATGACATGGGCCTGGGTCTCTGTCCGATTCCAGAAGGCTGCTGCAGACCTGCAGACTGTTCTTCAGTGCTCAACACAGCAATGATCGCTCGTATAGTTGCCTCGTCAACCTGAGACCAGGGCTTTGAAGGCGCTCTCATCCGCCGGAGAAATAAGCTGTGCCATTTCTGTCTCAGTTGGAGGAGGAGGCTGGCAGCCTGCAATAAGCACAGTTCCTACTCTTAACACACATGTGTCTGAGGGACAAAAGGCTCAATACAAAAAACTGCACAAGGAAATTATGAGTGCAATATTCTGATAAATCATTGCACAGGAAAGTACCATATCAATGGCAAGAGTCTTTTAAAAAATACTCTTTTGAAAGTTTAGAGGAAAAGCATGGAAATAAAATATCTAAAATATCTGAATCATTCTTCCCCATTTAAATGAAGCATTTCATTTTGGACATGCACAAGGCTTACATGGATTGTGGAGCACTTATTTCCACAGGGGCAGAAAAAGAAAGCGGAAAGAACTAGAAGCAAACTGAACTTGTAGGGCTTTTCTAAAGTGCTCTGTATAAGACTAGAATAAAGGGGAGCAGTCAATCAAATCTAGGTGGTCTGAATCATTGGCCCTTTATACACAGCCAAAACATGCAGAGAGAATCATGTCTGCTGTTACCACTTCTGGCCTCTCTTATGCATTCATGAGATGAAACCTCTATTCAGATTAATATTGCCTCTGAAGCTGATGAACAAGAGATCCAATCTTATTAAAAACCTATGTAAACTATTGGGCACTGCCGTATCTTATAGCAACAAATTCCATGCTGATTGTGCATTATCTGAAGACAGAATCTACAGGTTTCACTGAGTAATCTGAAGTTCTGTCTAGGCCAGGAGAAGCGTCCACTGACGTCCTTTCATACCAAAAAAGGGATTTCTCCAATATCCCTTTATTTATAAAAAAATCTGATTCTGCATGTATTTCCACTTTTTTTCCTTTTGAAATTGTTTTAATCCCTTGATCAATTATTTCACAAGGAGGCTTCTATTCTCAAGCTCCCATGTGCCAAGACTTTCCTCTTCAGAACAGTACTCTCTCTGTGATGAGAGCAATAGCCAGTATGATGGGAGGGCTTCCTCTCCTCACATCTTTATTTAACCTACATTCATAATGCAGATATAGGGTGATTAAGATGGTTCTATCTATTAATCTATCTGTACTAAAACAGCAGGGACACTGAAAATTTCATGTTTCATTCAGTAGTTAAATCCTGAGAATTAGTGTCCTAATCTTAAAAATTAGTTCAGTTTCAATGTACTCAGAGAGCCCTCAAAAGTTTTTTTCCCCCTTTGGAAAATGTTTATTAGCAGTAATGAAGTACCCACCTCTGGATCTAGTTTGAAATTGAGCCATTCATCCAGTTTCAATGCAGCCAAATTAGCTGTTGTTTTGTCTTCCATTTCACTGTCACTGCTATCATTAGGAGCACCATCTACTATATTAGGAAACAGAAAGCCTGTATGTTAAGCCTTTATCTGTACTACATTTTAATGGAGGACTTAAATTAACATTTTCCATTTTTAATTTTTATTTTATAATCCCTAAAAAAAGGTTCACTCACATTTCCTAAAATATAATTTTCGTTTGTGCTGCTAATTTCTGTTTCCAGACCAGAAAAACTCTGCATTGGTCTCCTCTATCTGAGTCTGAGATGATCTTTACAACCTATGCGTATTTGTTCACACATGCACAAATATACACTTTGTTTATTTAGCAAATTAACTTACATGGCAGTAATCACACTCATTAAGTCAAATCACTTTTCTGAGATTTACTTTTAATAAATTGTAAATCAAAATCTACTTAGTGCTGCAAATGTGAGTGTTGCACTATTTCATTTATTAAGAAAACTCAGTATATTAAATTATTTACATAGTATAAGGGTTTTAAATAAAATAATGACAAAACAGGTTATTTTATTAACCCTATTTACTGTGGCAACTATATGCAATAATTCTAATCAAATCCATTATGACACAGTTAATAAACACATCAGGGCTCTTTACATGAAGATCCTTCACGCATTAAGGGGGAAGAAGGTAGAACCTGGCAGCCACATGTAATCCTCTGACTGTGCATTCAGCTACTGATGAGTTGGGCAAAGTATAGCTCACTAGGAGATGTGGCCCTCAAGTGCATTTCCGCAAGGCACTCCCACCCAACCACCTGTTCCCAGTGTAATAACAATATTTTGGGAGGAAGAAAAATGGGGGACTTTGCATTAGGCAGGCTACAGGGAGGTGCATTCAAAATCTCCAAGCCCAACCATATCCCAAACAAAACTGGAAATTGTCATTTGGGAAATTTCAGTTTTAATATTTGTCCTTTTTTTTTGGAGGGGGTGGCCCTTTTCAAATCTGGCATGGCTAGAGGCTCCAGGCCTGCTAGAGTTGCCCCTCCTTGAGCGAGGATGTCAAGTGAGGCTACCATGGTGAAGAAAAAGGGGACAAAAGTTCCTCCACATAATGGCAGATATTAAGCAGGTCAAATATCAATCTTAAAAGATTTACAATATAAACCACATAAAGGAACAGTGAAAGCTGCCTTAACACCACTGGTACTTTTAGTATAGTATTGGTATACTATAGTACAGGGGTTCCCAACCCCCGGTCCACGGTGCCGGTCTATAGCCTTGGCTGGACTGGGCCGCGGAGACAGATCTCCTGCCCCTCCCCGCACGCATTCCCCCCTGCATGAGTGCAAGGGTGTGCGTCCACCGTGTGAACAACCCCGTCCTTTATGTGAGTGCCCACGCAAGTGAGCACGACCCCTTTGCCCAGGCACATGAGCGTGCCCCATGCCCCGTCCCCCCGCACACAGACCCCGTCTCCCCCAACCAGTCTGCAGTGTCAAAAAGGTTGGGGACCACTGCTATAGTATATATATTTGTATATACTCGTATATATTAGTATAGTATTTTTAGCACTAACTAGCAATAGCTATCTAAGGTCCTAAACAAGACTATTTCTTACCTCTACCTGGAGATCCTTGGTATTTCCTAGTCGTGTCCCATCCAAGAACTCCCCAGAACTGACTCTACTTTGCTTCCAAGATCAGATGAGGTTAGGCATGTTCAGGGCGATATGGTCATACACATAAAATATTTTTAAAATGTTATATATTATACCAACACTATACCTCTGAACGATGAAGGCTCCTGCAAAGCATTACTTGGCAATCTAGCTGATCCACAGAAGAGGGCTACAGTGACTGGAGTCACAGCTGAACAGCACCTGACATTAGCAATTCGGTGGGCTCTTGTCATTTCATCATATATAAGCCAGTCTGTAGGGAGTGCCTGAATAGCTGCCACTTGGCCATTAGCTGGAGGAATCTATTGGTAGAAACATAGATTTTCTTCTTTTCAGTGCAATAACTGGAACGATTTGAAATACTAGTTTCTAAGGCTGGATTAACAGTTATTTGCAGGGGGGAAGTTTGGGAACATATCACACATTGCTGAGTCTGAACAGCTGATTACTGGAGTTCCACAGAAACCACACCAAGCTTTTTAAAGGAAGAGCAGGTGTAAAAAAAACTCTAGAAACTCAAGACAAGAATATGCAATCACCCATCCTGACGTACATTTAAAGGTTTGATAACCTATTAGAACATGTATGAGTGAGTGTATATTTGTTTGTATATGCATATCTCACACGCACACGCACATATGCACGTGTGTGTGTGCACACACATACACACATGCTAATTGTGGTGGGGAGGGCAAAACTAGTGATTTATAAAATGAGACATCAAGTGTTTTGCTAAGGTTCTATCTGTTTCAAAGGGCCAATCCAACCAAAGGCCTGAAGTTAAAGAATAAAGGCTCATTCTAAAACAATCAAGTGGCAAATTAGTTTCCTCACCCCATTATACTTATCATTGAAATCATGACTGAAGTAATTAATGCTGTAAGCTTTGGGAAATAAAGTATTCACTGTTTAGCAATTCCCCACCACCCAAATTAAGGACAATCAACTTAAATCCAAACGCAAAATAATTACAAAGAATATTGTCCCCACATAGTGAAAGGCTCTTGGATACAAAAAAGGGGGGGCTGCACCTGACTTAGATAAAGGGGCACATCCTGTCCCACTGTAGGAATCTGTACAGAGACTGGTGTCTCGCCCACATAACAGACATGGAAGAATGGATAGTCCGCAGACAGGATTACTGTGTAAAACCTACTCAATGCAGTTGGCCCAGATTAAAACCTGGAAATACAGTGCTGAAACAAGTTTAGAAAAAGTCATCTGTGCAACATTCAAACATGGTTTCTCCTTCCATAATGGTATCATTGAAAATGGTACAGTGGTGCCTCCACTTATGACCGTAATACGTTCCAGAAGATGGACACAACTCCAAATGGTCGTAAGTCGAAGCACCACTTCCCATAGGAATGCACTGAAATGAAATTAATCTGTTCTGGCCAAAGGAAAAAAATCACCCAAAAAAATATATAAATCACTGTAAAACTCAATGGAAACCCAATTAATTAATCCCTTCCAGCCAAAGGGGGGGGAAGCAATCAAGCATGCAAGACCCATTGGAAATGCACAGAAAACAAACGGAACAGATTGGAAATGCACAGAGAACAAAGGGGGCAGGTCGGAAATGCAAAGAAAACAAAGGAAAAAAGCAAGGGAAGCATGGAGGACCCATCAGAATTGTGGAAAACCCTGCCAAAAAGCATCCAAACCCCCCAACACCCATCGGAAATGGGGGGAGAAGTAAAAAAAAAAAGCAAACCCTCCAAGACCCATCAGAAATGGGGAGGAGCAAAAAAAGCAACCCCAAGATCCATCGGAAATGGGGAATCCTCCCAAAAAGCAACCAACTCCCCCAAGACCCATCAGAAATGGGGGGGGGGGACAACAAACAACCCCCCCAAGACCCAGCACAGCACAGAAACATAACCTCCCAGCTCAAAAACACGCTGCAAAAACACCCAGAACAGTTTTTTTTAAAGCAGAAAACAGCACCTTACCTTACAAGGCAGTCCAAAGCCTCCCTGCAAACACACACACTCACACACAAACACTCAGAAGCAGAAGGAGGCAGTCCCAAGCCTCCGACGATGACACACACTCTCTAACTGCTGGGGCAAAAGAGCTACAAAGAAGCAGCCTCATCACCACCTACAGTTAGCAATTTGAATTTCCCACCTTTTTTCCCTGCCTTTTTCTGTTCGTAAGTAGATGCTCCAGTCCCAAGTAGAAGCAATATTTTGCGACCGGAGCTGGTCGTAACTCAAAATGGTCATAAGCAGGGATGTTCGTAAGTCGAGGCACCACTGTAACTATCGGCCAAGGTGTATCTTACAAGTATGAGTATCAAAACATTCGAAAGACTTGTCACTGAACAAACATACCACTGTCCCTTCCCACTGCTCAAGTCTATCATTCTGCTATTAACTTCACCATATTAAGCCATCTTACCTTTTTATACTGTGGTTGGCTCAGAACTGAGGTAGGATGAAATCGCACTTTTTTCTCTTTTGGCCCAGTCAACACAATGTTCTCTCTGTCAACATGAACTATATTTGGATACATTCCAGCTACTAAGGCACCTTTGACCACAGCCCAGTTCTCTGAGTTTGTATTAACATCTCTTATATCTCCACCACCTCTGGCTCTTACAAAACCTAAAGTAAAGAAATTAATATCCTGTTAAGAACAGTAATTGGTTTCAGGTACACAGGTCTGGCACAGCTCTGCACTGTTGTTTGGGCATTCTAGCGTTTCTGATATTTTAGACTGTGACTTCCATAATCCTTGGTCACTGGTCGCAATGACTAGGTCTCATAGGAACTGCACTTCCTATGCAGTTGCTTTAAGTGAACAGCAGCTCTGAATTGCTGTTTCAATTCAGAGCACCTTAGATTTGAATTGAAACTGAAACTGGATGAATAGTTCGTATCAACTCACAGTCTGCTTATTTACATGATGGGTATTCAGCATTCAGTCTTGAATGAATCTGCTTTGGGTTGTAGAATGGGGAACCTTCCAATTTTAGCAATTCTAAGAGAAGCAACCAAATTCTGATGTAAACTGATATAGATTATTTCCTGATTTAACAAATATTATTTCCTGATTATTTACTGATTTAACAAAGGATGATTCCTGAACATGATCTTTGACGTTGGGGCTCCCAAGAACAATTCAAAATATTGATCCACTTTTGATTGATAATATTTTAAGAATTATATGATCATGATAGATTATAAGGTTATTTCAAATACATGACCTTAAAATAATGCAATGTTTATTATTCCAAAATCTTATTTTGAACTTTTCTACAGCACCCTGGCAGCATTAATAGGTGAACATGGCTGCACTCCTATCTCACTTACAGAAAGCCATTTTGTATTGGCACTGAATTCATACAGAGCAATCTGGAAGGCTACATTACTTAAAACAGTCTGAAACCTTACCTCTGAAAGAGAAGTGGGCCTCAACAATAAAACATTTAATAATAGGTGGTGTCGTCCCTAAGAGGCTAATGGGCTTACATTCTACTTCGTTTAGAATCAAGTGTTGTTTAAAATTTTGGCTGTGAAGGATAGAGAAGGACCGTCTGAGCTTCTTGGGCTTTTCCTACAATTAATTGTGTTTTTAGTTTTTTTTGTTTTAATGTTGTGAGCCACTTTGAGTCCCCTCATCAGGAGAAAGGTGGCCTACAGATGATACTAGTTTACTAACAAACAAATACATACACTATGTTAAGAATTTGGAAGATCTCCATAGGTTTAAGAACTATCTTCAAGGCTTATCCTTGCAGAGAGTACTGCTATCCTTACATATCAGTATCTATGCAGACACCAAACCAGGACATAAATCTCTAATTTTATGTACTGATTTTACATGGAGTGTTGAAGTCTGTGGGCTTGCCACACTCTGCATGATCCATGAACTAGAAGGAAAATGATATCAATATTCATTATTAAAAGAAATTCATTTTTGTCTGTCATCTGGAGAATTCCAAAAATGGGAGGAACTAAAACTTGAAGAAAGTTGAGTAATGGGGGGGGGGGAAACACAACCAATTAATAGAACACACCAATCTTAGTTATACTGCTATAATTTTTCTTAGTTATTACCTGATATTAATTGCTTGTGACTTACCCATATTTTTCGCTCCATAAGACACACCTTTCCATAAGACGCACCAATTTTTTAGGAGAAGAAAACAGGAAAATATAATCTGTTTTCTTCGCTCCATAAGACGCACAGACTTTCCACCCCCCTGTTTTGTGGAGAAAAAGTGCGTCTTATGGTGTGAAAAATACGGTATTTTTAAAAATTGTTTCCATTATCTCCTGTCAGTGTAAACGAGAACACTAGCTCTACACACACTACTGACATGCCTTTATTTTCACATTGTAACAACAGAAATATGAACATCCACTATGTTGACTGTAAGCCACGCAATGGTTGCTACGTGGGTCAAAATCAGAACAGTAAATACTGCTACTCTAATCTCCAATAGGCATATCTGTGTTCATTTCACTGTCTTTTATAATTACAGTGGTAGAAACAACAGCAAACAGAGATATTCCTCAGGTTACGCTTTCTATGCAAGGCATTCGTTGGCCATCAGAGAAAATGCTTTAATGTAACATCTGAAAGACAGCTGCTTTTATTGTACAGTGGTGCCCCGCAAGACGAAATTAATCTGTTCCACGGTTAATGCCATCCAGCGAAAATGTCATCTTGCGAGGCATAGTTTTCCATAGGAATGCAATGAAATTTAATCAATGTGTTCCTGTGGGGGAAAAAAAAGTCCAAAACAAACAAACAAACAAAAATCACTTACCTGTAGACTGAGCCCGGCTCCTCACACTGCCTTGGTAGCCTCAGAACAGCAGGAAAAAGAGTGCCAAACAGCTCAGAGCCTGCACCCAGCAGGGAGCCGGCAGCCATTTTCTGCTCTTCTCCGCTCCAGCCCCTCCCCCTCCCCGCCTCACAGTTCAGGCAAGCCCACCACACACACCCCCGCGGCAAAGCGACGCTTTCAGAAGCCTCCCAGGTGCTTTTCCACTGCTGAACAAGCCCCAGGAGGCTCCTGAAAGTGGCGCTTTGCCAATGGGGGGCAGGCTTGCCCCTGCCACCCACCCACCCAGGCAAAGCGCTGCTTCAGAGGCTTCCCCGGTGCATTTCCACTGCCTGTTTACCTGTTAGTAAAGCCCGGAGAAGCCTCTGACACCCTGCAACGATAGCTGTGAGGCAGGGAATGGGGCGGGAGCGGAGAAGAGCACACAACCCCACCCCCAGCAAAGCACCACTTTCAGAAGCCTCCTGGGGATTCGTCTTGCGAAACAGGGCCATAGTTAAAATAGTCTTCTGAGGCACCAAAACCCTCACCGGAACAAAATCATCCAGCAAGTTTTTCGTCCCATGAGGCAATCGTCTTGCAGGGCACCACTGTACATACAAGAATACAATAACACTGAGGAAGAATGTTTTAAAATACTTTTATTACCCTGCTTTCAGATTTATGAATATCTATATCTATGTACCTGATGCTCTGAGCTGCCCAAGCAACTGTGTTCTCATTCCTATGATAATCTCCATTGTTGCCTGAGAAAGGAAGTTCTTCTCACAAAAAGCTCTTTCCCAGCCATCACTTCGTGCCTTCTGCCATGCCTGTCAAACAGATCAAGTTAAAATGTCTTTGAGTGCCATTTTTCATACAATGTATTATAAAGTACTGTAAAAAGCGAAGATTTTCAGTAAACAATGCCGAGTCCTAGATTAACAAGGCTTGGGAAATTTATTCTCCACCACCTCCAAACAATATTCCTGAAGTGAGTCAAGTCTAGACTGCATATATTATCCAATATTCTACTGGTTTCTACCATAGCTTGGATGGTTTCAGGCTCACTTTGATTTTTTTTAACAAGGCAGCAGTAAACATTGTGTTTCATCCAAACTAGTCTACCAGGTCCTTTAGTCAATTGGTTCTTGATCTTCCTGCACTTCTCTTCCCATTTATTTTACTTTGAATAACTGGCTATACCAATCTGTACTTTTCATTTTTTATCAAAAGTAATCTAGTTTTCTACACTTGCAGTGTTTTATGATCTCCTGGTCATTAAACATTTGTTTCCATATTTCTTCACTGATCGTCTTTGTGGATCCACATTTCAAATATTTCTATCTATCAAATATTTAAATCCACATTTCAAATATTTCTATCTTTTTTAATAGTTGGTGGTATCTTTCTTTATAGCTATGTCACGACAGATTATTCCCAAGATTACACTAGGTAAATCTTAAAGTAAACTCATCAAGCTAAAAATGTCTCATCTTTGTTACAATTATATCCTATCTTTCTCTCAACACTGGAACTCAAGTCACTTCACGTACTCTTTTTTTTAACTTTTAATCTTCATTGCATTTTAAAAAGAAATTATAAAAGTAAATAATTATCACAATATTCGCTCATAACCAAAATAACTTCCTATTATCTCTTTTGCAAAACAATAAGTCTTTAACAATTTTACTTTGTTATTTTCCACCAGACATTTATTTTTTTCGCAATCTTAATAATACCTTTCTTAATTTTTATTTTACATCCATATTAACAACCTGCTTTAGTTTGTTTTTACTTCTGTTGAGAGCAATTCTGCTTCTAATTTAAGCCTAAGTCACTTGGTACAAGTTGAAAATCTTTCTTCCATTTCTTTCTGAGATAATTCTTTACTTTCCCCCATTGAGATTCGTGCTTGGTTCTACTCTTTCCTTTCAATGAGTCTGTTAATTTGTCCATTAATATTAGTTCTTGTGATTTTATTAAGCAATCCTCCACCGAAGGTTCCTCCTTGTCTTTCCGTTGTTTTGCCACTTGAATTCTGGCTGCGCCTAGTATGTATAAGCAAATTTTTGTCTCTTTTCTCAAGTTTAACTTTATCACATTGAACAAATAAGTTTCAGGGTTCATCTCCATTTTTATTTTTAAATCTATTTTGATTATTTTTTCTATTTCTTTCCAAAATTTCCTAATAAATTTACAACCTCACCACATTTGATAGTGTTCCTTTTATTGTCTTACATCTCCAACCTTTATCTTTCTCATTTTTCTTCACCTTTGCCGATTTCTCTGGTGTCATATACCATCTGTATACAATATTTTCATATAATTTTCTTTCAAAACTGTACTTAATAGTTTTTTGTTATCATTTCATGCTCTAAACCAATCCTCTGTCTGAATTGTTCTACCTAATTCCTGCATCCATTTTATCATATTTTCTTTACTTCCTGTTCCATATACAACTTTGCGATTTGATGATTTTCTTTTCCCCATATTATCTTATCTAGTTCTGTAGGTTCTTTAACCAATCCAATTAATTTATTATCTATTTTCATTCTTTCTGATAGCTGTGTGTGTGGAAACCACTGGCATATTATTCCTATTTGTCTTGTTCTTAATCTTAATTGTCCATCATTTTCCTCTATGAGTAGATCCTTATATGTTAACCATTTATCATTCTTTATGTCAACTTCCTTTGAGAGAGCTTCATGGGAGGACATCCACATTGGAATCCCACAATAAAATTTCCCTTTATATTTCTCCCATACTCTTATTAATGCTTTTCTTATTATATTATTATCATAAGATTTGTTCACTTTCTTTCTTCGATGCCGTAAAAATATGCATGAAGTCTATATTTTAAATCTTTGCTTTCTAGTATTAATATTTTCCCTTCTCCAGTCTTATCCACTCTCTTAACCACTGTAGTGCTGCCACCTCATAATATACACTTCACATAATCTTTTTAATACAGTAGAAATACCTGAAAAGCCCTGAGAAGGGCCATATGATCACTAAATGTTCCTGCAGTAAACCGTTTTCTACACAGCATGGCTGCACGTTTTTGAGAGGCCTGTGTTGGTAGCACAAAAGGGTCACGATATGCAAGGGTGCACGCAATGGTCAGAATAGGATCCAGGCACTTGAGAACAACAGCGCATAAGACCATTTTACCAAGGTGGGGTTCGACTGGTAAGTCAGCCAGATGATAGCCAAGTTCTGTCAGATCCTCCCAGGTATCCATAGCATCTATTGTCTATTTTAAAAGAACGTAGCCAAGATCAGCAAATGAGAAATGTAAAATCCAAATGCAACAGAACTAAAGAAAAGAGCCTCAATTTTGTATTAGCTTACCATGTATTTCTCCTATGACAATCTCAACTTTACAAAGAAAGTACTCCTCACAAACAATATGAAAAATGTAATAGTCTTGTTTCACGATTCCTGATGATATGATAAACTAAAGAAAGCCGTTCATGGTTTTGGACCATGCTAGCTGTTGGAGTGTCTTCCCCCAAGGTCATCTTCCTGCTCCACTAGATCCTCCCAGACTACGCTTCCCTTGGTGGCTACACCTAAGGAGGCTAAAAAAAAGTTCTACAAGACATAGGGCTTTTTTATTGTTGGCACTATTGCTGTGGAACTGCCTCCTGATGAAGCTATGCCTGGCCTACTCCCTGCCTAGTTTTAAGAGGCTGCTGAAAATGCTTCTCTTTTTGGAGGCTTTTGAAGGCAGCCTCTTTTGAATTTTTTTGCCCGTTCCATTTCTCTAACTTTTACTGCCATCTGTGCTCTTGCTGGTTTTCTCCTGTCGTTTTATAGTACAGTGGTGCCCCGCATATGCGAAATCGTCGCTAAACGGGTAGGCGAAATGTATTCGTTTAATGCATTCCAATACCTTTGTTACTTACCCGTTCAGCGAGGATTCCAGGTGCCGGCAGCCATTTTCGCGCCTTCGCTAAGCGAGGGCAGGGTGCGAAAACGGCTGCCGGCAGCCATTTCTGGACTTCCGGCGGCCCCTTTGGTACCGCCGACCGGCCGTTTCGGGGGT